TACATTTCATTATAAAACATATCATTATATTTTTCTAAAGTCTGTGAAAATACAAAGGTTGGTGTTATCTAGTCAAAAGACAGTACTTTAATATCCGCTGCCTCTTCTTAAACTTTGCTGTGAACCATTACTGACTGTACAGGCCTTGTGAGTTCAGCACTCAGACCACACTGTGAAGTCTCTTCCTGTGAAGTGATCAGTATCTTGCTCATGCCTCCTTCCCACTGAACACCACTTGACTCTCCCTATGAGTAAACTTTATATGCCCTTCTTTTATTTGACATGAAGACAAATTAGGGCAGAAAAAAACAAACATAAAAATGTTTAGTCCAGGGTAAAATAAAAACCTTAACCACTAAACGTGCTATCTCATCATGAACACAGAGAATCAGCTCTATGCACTGGCAGCATAAACAACATGAGTTTCCACTTGTGTCTCTATTGCAGGCCTTCTGCTTCTAGGTGTTTGTGGGTGGAGTCTCAACGCTGCAGATTAAACAGAGCCCACATTCTGAAGGTGAAAAATTTACAGTCTCATAAAAAAATAACCACAGTCATTACTTTCATTATTCTTGACTGTGACAGTCTTAGCATATGAAAGATCATTCTGGGCTTGGCTCCAAAAAAGTAGGGTGGTCAAGAGGCTAAGTCTGACCACGCTTTCATTTGTAGAAGTAGCCCAGTCAAGGCAGGCGAATCAAACCTCACTGCTATGACGCAACAGTAGCAACACTGCACCATTAGATATACTGTAGCACTCTGGCATGATAATTACTTTAACATACTAGTTGCACATTTGAGCTGGAAAAGTTTAACCATGATACATGAGGTTACTCAGTGTGTTGAGATTTGACACAGTGTCACAGCCTAATGAAGAAAATGCTGAAAACACATTAGTCTGTGTCATTTTTAACTGTGACATTTGTTCTTTACAGGATCAAGACAGGTAGGTATGAGATGATGATAAAAAAGCTTGGCTGTTGTAAAAAACACACAAAAAGAACAAAAAAACCCAAAAGAAAAAGTATGTTGCAAAATCATTATTTCAGTTCAGCATGCAGCCCTTATTTAAGGAGCCTCTTTCAACCTGTCCAGGCTTTCACGTGGAGAAATGGTCTAGCCAGGCAGTGGGCCATCAAAACCCCTGGTAGCAACTATCAGTGTTGCCACACTAGGCTGTTTTTTTGGCAGATAAAGATAAAAGATAAAAACTGAACAAACCACAGTTCTCAAACAAGGTGAGAGATTTCGCAAGTCTGGGGCCCACTGTGGGAAAAGCTTTATGTCCTTCAGTTTTGTCTAGTCTTGTATGATGTACAATAAGTATGATAGCTGCTGCTTCTCCATGGAAAGCTCAAAAAGTTGGAACCAGAATCTTGAAACGTGCTCTGGATTCAAGGCAGTGCAGCTGAATTAGCAATGGTGAGTTTGTCTCTGAGGTGTTTTTGGATTTCATATGAACATAAAACTAACCTGGAAGATTAGAATTCACGTATGCTTATTCACGTAAAATCCACAGAAATACAGCCCGACATCAGATAAATTCACTTGTGTGATTTTAAGAAACACAGAAGTGATGTTGGAACTCATATTGAATTTTCCATTTTGAAATCATCACAGAATGAAGCTTTGCCTTGAGAGCCATACATAGCAGCAATACAGCTGGGCTTAGTTCTGTTGATAACTTTGAACCAGTCTGTCTGTGTTGGATTATAATAATAATAATAATAATGGATTGCATTTATATACCGCTTTTCAAGGCACCCAAAGCGCTTTACAATGCCACTATTCATTCACTCTCACATTCACACACTGGTGGAGGCAGCTACAGTTGTAGCCACAGGTGCCCTGGGGCAGACTGACAGAAGCGAGGCTGCCATATTGCGCCATCGGCCCCTCTGGCCAACACCAGTAGGGTAAAGTGTTTTGCCCAAGGACACAACGACCAGGATAGAGAGCCCGGGGATCGAACCGGCGACCTTCCAGTTACAGGTGCGCTTCCGACCGTTATTCATTGATAGTTTGTTTCACATAGCTCTTATAATGGGATTAAAGGGATGGAGTGTTTTTTTTTTCTTTTTCATCTTAGTATTGACCTACCTATACAATGCAAATGCAGAGCTCTGATATCTGCAACACAGATAACAGCATGCTTTGATAACTGTCCAAATCTAACTGGGAAAATGTCTGGCACTGTCGAGTGCAGATCCACTGAGCGCAGCGCAAGCTAGCAAGACAGAAGCTAAGCTCGTTGGAACATGGCAACTGCCTCAACGCTACCCGAAACTGAACCTCCCCCACCCTCATTCAGATCTGGCGTTTGGAACTATTTTGGTCTTCATGTGAAGTATGACCCTGAAGGTAAGCACGTCATGGACAAAAGTAAAACAGTATGTCGGATTTTATTTTTTAATAATTTTTTTGTTTTAGCAACATTAAATTTAAAAACTGTACTTTTGAGTTAAAATATATATTTATAATTTGAATAAATGACAAATTAAAAAGGCGCGAACATTTTTTGTATCGAAAAAATATCGAACCGTGACACCAAAGTATCGAACCGAACCATGAATTTTGTGTATCGTTGCACCCCTAAAATATATACTTCATTAAGCTAACCCCACTTAGCTTCTGAGAGCAGATGAGATCAGACATCCATGAGTTTGTATGTGATTGTACATTTAGTTGATTCTCTATGTGCATGAGGGTACAACATGTATGTTAGTGAAGTCATTATAACATTTTTGTGTCCGTTTTTCTGCTGGTTTGTTTGTTTCTATCTTAATGAAACAAGAGCATACAAAGTTAGGGGAGTCAAAAGGTCTTTGGGGGAGGGAGGTGTGAGCAAAATACTCGTCGCTTTACAGGAAGAGACTACACAGTGTGGTCTGAGCACAGTCAGAAGAGGTTCACGTGAAGTTTAAGAAGAAGAAATGAAACTTGAACTACTTGCTTTTGACCAGATAAATCCAGCCTTTGTACATTTACAGATTTTTTTTTACCTATTTTAGAAAAAACATTGAGAATGAGAAATTACACACACACACACACACACACACACACACACACACACACACACACATATATATATGTATATATCTATATATATATATATACTTTTTAAAAGAACAATATGGCACGCTTTGATGAAAAATTATGTGTAGGTCATGACACTTATTATAAAGCACAACGGCTAATGAAAATTATGCAGCCAGGGATTGCACTAGAGCTGTTTCTTAGTACTGAATTAAATAATATCTTATGTATATTCATTTGAATTTATTTTAACTTCGTCAGGTGTTTTCATTTTTCATTGTCCTCTATTACATCCTGACACAGTCGGTGTGTGTATGGGCAGCTTTCTTGCCTGACGATGTTCTTGTGCAGTCTCATGCTCCTCCCCCTGTAATTTTCCACTGTGGTGACAGCATGTTCTATCAGCTAAAACGAAAGCCCTTTTCTTGCCTGCATCAGAAGAATAAATAAACAATGGTGATCTGAATAACTTTGACCATGAGTAGAGGCTAGTTTCACTGTTTTCAAATTTGAGGGTGTTTTTGTTTGACTGCTACTTGATCATTTTGCTTCATCTGTTTTTATTTATCATCTGTTTTTTATTTATGTTCCTTTCTCTCCATCATTTCCCTGAATGTGCATTATGCCACTTTAACAATATGTGTGGTTACATCTGGTTATAAACATTCCAATATTATGTCGCCTGTAGAGAGAACGAGAGGGGCAGGTATGTGGTGCATCATGTGTCTTTGAGGAGTGGATGAAGACTGTTGCAAGGGCATTCAGTTTATGTCTCTAGGTGAGGGTGGCAGACTCATGCCTGATGGATGGAGAGGTTTATCAGTTTCATTCATGCATCCTCTTCTTCTTACCCTTGTGAGGGTCACTGGAGGGGTGGGGGGGACTCCAAACCAAAAGCACTGTATCGAACGGTTCAATACTGATACGAGTATTGTTGCACCCCTAATATATTTATCAGATTACCCTGAATTTCCAATTTAGCTATGTTGCAATAGGCCTAGACTTCTGGGGAGGCTTCCCATGATGCATGTTTGTGTTTTTGTTCACTTTCTATATGCTTATAGATCACTGTGGATTTAGTCATTAGTCATTTTTACTCCACAGCATGTCTTTGTCCTGTTTTCTAACCATGGCAGATGGCTGGAGATCCCTGAGTCTGTTCGACACAGGCTTATTACTGTTAAAATAGAGTTTCTCCTTCCCACTGCTGCTTACTCATTCCCCTATGAGTAAGCAGCAGTACCTTGAGCTGAATATTGGAAAAAGTTTGCCAGTCTAATGAATCTTGGTTCCTGTTATGACATTTTGATAGTAATGTCCGAATTTGTTAGAAACAACATGAAAGCATTAATGCGTCCTGCATTATTTAAGGATTCAGGCTGTGGGTGGTGGTACCCTGGTATAAAATGGGTATCATTTGAACACTACGGCTTATCTCAGTTTGTCCAGTCCACCTATCTTTTCATGGCTGCTTCCATCAGGATAATGTGCTACAACAAAAAGCTCAGATCATCTCAAACTAGTTTGTTAAACATGACAGTGAGTTCATTAATGCTTTCTTCCATCTCCAAATCTCAATCCAGCTGTGCACTGCTGGATATGGTGGAACAGATTTGCATATAGATGTGCATTCAGCACATCTGTAACAACTGTGTGATGCTTTTTATGTTAATATGGACCAAAATCTCTGAGGAAAGTTTCCAGCACCTTGTAGAATGCCACAGAAAATTGAGGCACATCCAAAGGCCGACATGGCTCAGAGCTAGCTGTACCTAATAATGTCTCCTCTGAGTGTTACACACCCACGGGAGCTTTTCACCAGTTGTACTGTCAGCCGCTGTGCTGTTGCTTCCTTTCAGTGGTCTATTAGACCACTACGGTCTACATTTTTCGACTCAGACAAAAGTCTGACAAATAAGAAAGACACAGAAACACAATAAGGAGTACCCAAACATGGCCCAAATGCAAGTTTTATTTATGCTTCATTTATTCTTAATTCTCTGCAGTCAGGCAGACAAAGGCTATCCTGTGAGTCTATCTTGTGGCAGCATAGATAACATGTGGCTCCAGGTCTCGTGTGGTAGGTCCACAGCTTCTTTTGGCTTTTTTTTGGAAACTAAGAGCTGCATAGTTCAGATCGCCTGAACTCATATTCTGAAATATCAAAGAATTTAGGTGAACGCTGTGTTTGTTAAAAATATGAAAAGTTGGTGGAGTAATAATATCTCAATAATAATACCAGATATACATAACATCATTACATATGCAAGTTTGAATCTGTAACACTCAGATTAACGACTATAGAGTCACCATATTATCATATACAGAAAAACATTGAGTGGAGGTGGAATGACCCAAGCCATCACTGTGACGTACAGTTTATATTGAGTTTTAAAATAGCAAATTCATAGCAGTTTGCTTTATGCACACATAGATACTTCAATAAAATATGGAGGCTGCTTTGTGTTGCAACAACATGGAAGAAAGTCTTCCTTTCTTCTCCTTTGACTTAACAAACTTCATGCTAATGCTTCTGCTTTCTAGAAACAGAAGAACTATTTCTTCGGCATACAGAGCATTTTATTGTCATTGCATTTAATTTATAATCTTCGACTGATTATATATAATACAATACAATTTCTTTATTCTTTTATAGTTTACAACTTTGACAGTTTTAAGTGACAACTACTAAACAATATCTCTGCTGGGATTAATAGTGTTATATTGTTATAATAATTCATTTTTGTTCATTAAAATAAACGGTTTAGAGTTCTTTCTCCTTGCTTGAAGATTGATGTTTTCATAGAGTCATCAAATGTTTAATGGTTCTGTTAAATCATAAACATTTTATATAGAGAGAAAAGATGGATTTACCTCACTGCTTTGCTCTGGTTGCTGTTGTGGACCTAAAGGCCAAATATGAAATTGTAATTAGTTTATTAGCAACACAGTACTTTGCTTTGGGTTTGTTGATCAGCAGCAAGAGTAGGTGAAACTAATTATAGCCACATTTACCTGTTTGAAGTTTCCTGATTTTTAAAACCAGAATAATGACCACCATAGTGAGTAAACCAGTCAGACCAGCCAAGATGATGCTCAATGGTTGGGTCGTTCTGTTGCACTCTTCTAAAAAGTGTGGTTAACGTATATTTTTACAAGATACTGAAAGTACTGCACAGTGAAGATTAAAATCTTTCCACTCATCACGGAATCTCACCTTCAGTCTTAAAATCCTCTCCTTCACTGGTTTCACCACCTGTGACCATGATTGTTGTATTATTTTACAATTTGCTGTTTGTAGTTACTGTGTTTTCACATGACATGATGAGAAACACTAAAGTTGCAAAGAAAGGTTTTTAACCTAAACTCACCTTGAATTCTCAACTGTACCCTAGTGGAAATAATTATATGATAGTCCAAGAAAAATCCACAGAAATACAGGCCAGCATCAGACAGATCCACTGGCTTTATTTGAAGAAAGACGGCAACGTTGTTGGAAGTCATATTGAATTTTCCATTTTGAAATCCATCACAGAAAGAAGCTTGTCCATTGGAGCCATACATAGAGGCAATGCAGCTCAACATAGCTCGGTTGACCACTCTGAACCACTCTGTATGCGTTGAACTTCTGGAGATGTTGGAGCACTGCAGTGTGACTTCTTCACCAGACTGGACCTCCACAGTCTGAAATTCAGAACCAGAGACAGAGATCCAGCCTGAAACAAACACAAGATTCATCCTAGAGAGCGCAGTACCAGAATATTGTAACAGTGAAACTGTTTTAATGAATTTGCGGTGTCCTAATAATCAAATTGAAATACTGGAAGGTTAGCTGTTGCATAATTTGGAGTAGAGAGTAGTAAGGTACCACTACTTACTTATGCCACATTGAAACAAAGCTGTTATAAAGATGAGGCTCCTCATTGTGTGATTAAATCTGCCACTGATCGGATAGTTTGTAACACGCAGCTCTTATAAGGGGTTTAGAGGGGCGGGGTGTTTTTCTTTAACTTGCCAATGACCTATCGGTAGTGTGCAATGCCTCTGCATGTAGTCAAGTTTCATCTGTTATCAATAGAATACATAAAGGTTTTGTACATGGAGATTCCATGCTTTTCAGATGCAAAAAGAATATCTCCTATGAAATTTTTATTATTTTAAACTATTATCCTTTTCTAGTCCCTAAACATCTGGTATAACATGGAAAAGAATACCTGCAGTATCATTATGTTATATTGGGTACAATTTTCTATGGTTTCTATTTGGAGTTTTCTTTTTGAGGCTGATATGTGTCCTGGTGAAGCTCACCAACATTTTCACATTTCTGGTGCACACTCAGGTCTTTCTTAAATTTTACATGTAAAACAAGTGTAAAAACTTGTGTTCTGGTTACATACCTGTTTCAGCTTAGTACATAGTTTAGCCAAGGTTTAGCCAAGGCTGTGTGTGTGTGTCTACATCTAAGGTAAAATGTGATTTTGTCTGTACAGACGCAAAAGTAGGTTTACATAGCTTTCTGGGCGATACAGTCATGAAACTTTACAGGCGTGTAGCTCAGTTCAGAGAACTTCTGTACATTAACATTAGCATTTTAATTATGCTGGTATTTTTGTCCCAGAAGTGAGAACATTTAGACAGGAGTGGATAGTGCTATGTTATGAATGCTAACATTAGCAGGCTTGATTATTCAGCAGCATTTAAAAGTTACAGACAAGAATTACAAAAAGTACAATTTACAGTCATACCTGCCAACTACTAAACCTTTTTAGTTCATAGTGACTCCATGACCACAGAATCACATACCTGTTTTAGTATTTTTCACATGGTTCTTCATACAGCATTGTAGTTACACAAAGACCAAATCCTTAAAACTGCAATTTTAAGCATGTTGAGCATCGGCAATATTTTCATGGACCGGCCTTTAAGGTGTCGCGGATAAATACAACAAAAATAAAACTAGTACCGGTACCGAAAAAAAGAAAATTTATTCATAACACACATGAAAAGACCCAGGAAAACTGAGTAAACGATAAAAACAATAACAAAATAACGCTGACAACCGATAAAAACCCTGAAAACTATACATTTCACACCTGAGCCTCAACTCTCGCGGCCCGGTACCAAACGACTCACCGATCCGAGGCCAGGGGGTTGTGGACCGCTGCTATATTAGATACCAAAGGTTTAGTCTAGACTTATTGAAAGGACCGATTTTATCTGGTTATTTTGTCCCATTTATAAGCGCCTGTTTAACCCTTGTATGGTGTTCGGGTCTGTGAGACCCGTTTTCAGTTTTT